CCCCAAAACCCCAAAACCCCAAAACCCCAAAACCCCAGGTATGCAATATATGCAAAAAATCGTATGTTTTCATGAAAATCTTAATTAAGTACTTTTATAATAGAAACGAATTTAGAGTTAAGCAATCTTATATTGCAAGCTAGAAACACATATCAATATAACTCCTTATTAATTTGGTTCATGCCCATCAAGAAAGCTTGATGAAAGCCTAATCGTTTTCAAATCAGTTAAAGAATTCATGATTTAGAGCTTGGTCGCAAGTGAGTCTCTCTTTAGGATTCCACTTGAGTAATTTTTCGATAAGGTCTGCACAGATTTGTCTGTCAGCTGTCTATTGTTAAAGAATTAAGAAGAATTAAGAATTTTACTGATAATTCTTTTGGTAGTATATTTACGAAATCCTTCTTTGGGATATCATCAAGTCTATGCACTAAGTTAACAGTATCTTTTGTTATCTGTGTTGACATACTGAATAACTCTTCTTTTCTTGGGAGACCAAGCACTGCAACTTATTCAATCAACTGACTTCCCTCAGTTTTACCTGGGAATAAAGGTCTCAATGTTAACAACTCTGCAAAGATGCATCCAATTGCTATTGAATTTAAAATTAGAGGGAAAAGGCATATTCTTACCCCAGATGTCGATTTTATTGGTATAGTCTGAGCAAGCAAGGATGAGTTCAGGTGCTCTATAATATCTACTGACGATGTAAGGGGTATTAAGTCCACCTTCATCGAGTATTTTGGCTGATCCAAAGTCACAGATTTTGATCACTCCGTCCTCAGTGAGCAAGATGTTTTCAGGCTTGAGATCTCTGTGGCATATTCTCTGTTAGTGAACATATCTCATTCCCTCTAGAATCTATCGCATGTAGTCTCTCACGTGCGATAACGGGATATATTTCTCTTTTTGCTTATGGTTTTGGATGATTTCCTCGAGGTTGGTCTTGCAGAACTCAAATATTAGATTTTGAGCGGTTTTTCCCTCCTCATTCTTGGAGTAGTAGATGTCGAGCATCTTGATCACGTTCTTGCACTCTCTCAGCTTGTCTAACACTTCGAACTCGCGACTCACGTACTCTCCCGCCTTTGTCGTCCTCTTCACTGCCACTGTTTACTTATGAACTTTATCCCATGCCTCAAACACATAACCTATCAAAACATTAGCATAACCATATAAGGAGTAATTGAAAATTTAGAAAATAGGCAAATAACTGATAATGAGGCTCTTACCAAAGGATCCTGAGCCAATAATTCTCTAGGGCTCTAAGTCTAAATACTCTCCATTACTTCTCTACATTGAATACTATGAAGAATGAGCCATAAAATATGAATATATTTATTAATTTAAATTAATACTGTGTCTCTTAATCACGCTTCAATACTCCAATCCCTCAATTATTATTTACTTTAATAAATAGCTAATCAGACTCAACACTAATATTTCTGAATTTAGTTTCTAAGCCAGTCCTTGCTTTCCTCGTCAAATATAGCTTCGACATTCCTTAGAAGCAGCTGTTTCAAATCTTTTGATGATGCTCTAACAGCTTTAGCATACTCAAAGAGTTCTTAAGAGCAATTATTCGAAAACAATACTAAATAATAATGGCATTACAAGACTTTTGAAACTTACAGGTATCATCACAACACAGAATCACATTGTGGTTCAATCTGTTCAGTTGCTTTAAATGTGGCATTAACTCTACTACACTACAGCCAGTAGTACTTGCATTACTTGACAAACATAACTCCACAGGAATATTCATTTCTGCTATTCTTTCGAAGTCACTCTTTTACTAAGAAATAAATCATTAAAAGGAGGAAATAATTCATACCATGAAATAGCAATGACCTATTCTATCTGGCTTAATATTCAATATCTCCTCATTTTCTTTTGCTTGTGCTTATGTTTCAGCACAATGTATAGTAAATTTAATTCCATTTTCTCTAGCCCTAAGTAAAACTTTGACATATTCCGAAAAACTTCCACATTAAGGGTCTCCACTTAGCTCTAGTCCTACAATGTATTTACATTTTTGATCTCTGTATTTCACTGCAAGATCCACAATTTCTTGACATTCCTAATCGTTGTATTAATCAAACCTTCTTATACTCAGTATAAGTCTAGCTCTAACTTCATAATTGAGTTCTTCCTCTGCATGTTATATTGCTTTTATGACAGTATTTATATAATCCTCTTTATTCCCAAGTTAGCAGTCTTAAAGTAGAAGTGACTTTGGAGTGCTTCTCAATTCGATATACCTAACATTTTACTTAAAATTATCCTGAATGATTTCCCTGACAATTCTGTATAAAGTTTCATGACTAGTTACTATCTAGGAACTAATTTTGAAAATCTCGAATGCCATTTTCATATCAACATTGTAGAAATCAATATGTTCAATGCTAACACCTTTCATTTCACTGAGTTCTAGGAATGTCTCTGCCCTTATTGAGCCACTAATGTGGTTATGCAGCTCTAATTTAGGGAACTAATGGCAGTCCTGGAAGAGCTATTAAATTTATTTGACATCAAGACTCAGATTTTCATTCTTTTTATATTCTTTAGACTATGATTCAGTCATTATTTAAGAACTTATAGCTCTTAACTCATCCTGAAATTCTTTGTCAATACTTTCCATTTCAAAATTTAGCTAAAATTTATATTAAGCGGAATTTAATTACAGTAAAAATACTATATTACTTCAGAATATTCAATGTCAATGTTTGAAAGCGGGGTTTTGGGGTTTAGCGAGTTGGGCTTTTG